CAAACTGCATAATTTATCTCATCGCCATATGTGTTAACTTGACTAAGTGAGAGCAAAAAGAACTAACTGTATGAGCATATTTTCATAAAACTAGATTTCTTTGTTAGAAACGTAGTTATCATTAAGGTGTTTCTTTTTCCGACTTCTTTATTGATTAATACGGTCAAAAACGGTATTATATATATATATATATATATATATATATATATATACATATATTAAGGGTGCATCTTGCGCACCGATTCGATCATTTTTGCATTAAAATAAAACGTAAATGTAAGGTCAGAAAACAAGACAACAGGAATCAGATTTTCAAGATTAGGAAAGGATCCGAAGTAATGGTAACGCTTGATTTAGGAAGTTTACACCTTTCTCCAAACATAATTCCACTTCATAAGTCATTGGATATTAAGTTAGATAGTGAATTGCGTAGCAAAAATTATACATGTAAAAAGGTTTAAAAAACAAGACCAGAAGTAAAACTCACTCTGGTAAGAATTCATAATATCTTTAAATCAAATCTTAACTAGTAATAAGTTCAATCTATTCTATGGATTTTTCTCCTTGTCATGAGTAATTTGTGCAAGTAATGAGGTTATTGAACAGGGATATTTTAACTTTTATGGGTAGAATACGAATTAGATAGATAAAGGTGTAGAAACTGAGAGAAAAGTTCAACAAAACGTTAGTTTTCGACATTCATATGTCTACTCGTTAAAGGAGTATTTTTTTAATGTACTTACCATGAAATCCTCAAACAAGTACACAGAAACTTTTGAGCCGTGACGAGACTTAACTTCTTTAACTTTAACATCATATGAAACGATGATTAAATATTCAAGAGAAGATTCGAACTTGTCCAGCAGATGAAGAGCTTCAGTTCCTGAATTACACAGCATACAATTCACTTGTGCTAAAATCAAATTGTAATAAGACTGATCACTAATGATAGAATTTTTCATGTTTTTTTGTCTACAATAGTGACTTTACGGCATATCAAAATAGAAACATATGCGTAGGAAATTTCAGTTAACATTAATTTAAATAAGCATGAAGATTTCAAAATTACGTATCACGTCCTTAAAAACAATATTTATTTGATGTTTTATTTCGTACTTAATGTATACCAAGTATTTTATTTCCAGAAGTTACTAGGATCAGTGTTTAGAATTAGTAAGCTAGCAAATAGTGTAAAGTGTAACACGGTACTCAATTAGAAATGTTTCCTCCGAAAATTAATAAAGATTATAATATCGAACTGATGATTATTAGATTATTGTTATATATTAAAAACAGCTGAACATGTAGCCGATGCCTAAGTAACTCTATGTTATTTGATCATCCTTTAATCCTGCTGAATATTACCATAGTCCTTTTAACTTTTATAGTGATCTTGTGACATAGAAAAGCTTATGTAAAACTTAATCTCATACAGATACATAATATTTACACAGATTGAAATCATGAGTCAGTTGAAGCTAGACCACCATGGAAAACCTGGAAGCACTGGACAGCCGTTTCGTCCTAGTATGGGACTCCTTAGCAGTGCGCATCCACGACCCCGCACCCCTTCTGGTAATAATCATCTGCTCACTAGTGACTGACTTCAAGAGATACTCCGGGAGTTCTAGTGGGAAGCCGTTACCAGTGGAGATCAACCAGGTCTGTTGTGAGATATCAGCTCACTGAAGACAATGGTGTACGGTGGCGCAACTTCGTGGATTGGTTGGAGTTAGACATTAACACCGTTGGATGCCTGCTCCGTGGTCTAATGGTTAAGTGGTCGCGCGCGAAGCCAGTAGGTCCTGGGTTCGAATCCCGCAGGGGGCGGGTTCGTGGATGCGCACCGCTAAGGAGTCCCATACTAGGACGAAACGGCTGTCCAGTGCTTCCAGGTTTTCCATGGTGGTCTAGCTTCAACTGACTCATGATTTCAACCTGTGAAATTTACTAAAATCTCCACAAAACTCATTCTGATACTAATGGAGTGGTAATATGGCTGCCTTTAGCACAGTTAAACAAACGAGAATAGTAAAACAATCACCGGTACAATTGTTTAGAATAATGATTGTTTCCATCAAACCCATCGCGTTCTCTTGATACAGGTTGGTCACTACAAGCTATTTATTTACCGCTACAGCTTAATGAACTAATAAAAGATAATAGTGAGATTTTAAGTATTGGATATAACTCAACAATGAAGATTTAATTTGAGGTGAATAAAGTCATGAAAACTCTTTAAATGTTGTGTCATCTAAGAAAGCGATCGAAATTACAAAGTAGTTAAGTAAAGTGATGGTTTCAGGGGCAGTGAGAAATCATAATTTATAGAATACATGCGAACGATATGTGTTTACTTTACAAATGAGAAGGTGGAAATTATGTCTATGATTGACACATACAATTTGTACAAACAGGATGGTATATAACGTCATGAAAGCCCAAGTGATATACACACAGAGGACACGCTCTAAATGACAAAATATTCATTCAGCTTACTTGAAGCCACTTCTTACTTTTAGAAGATATTGAAAAATGATTTCTAGGGTTTTCTGTGAATACATTAAGTCATATTTTCAGTGGTCGATCATTAGTCTACCAGGGTTTATCTTTGGACTACTATTCGGAGAAGTGTACATATATTAAATTTCCAAGCACCATCATGTCAATACAGTTGTAGAATTACTACTAGCTATATAAGAATGATATACGCAGACATCGTAATGCAGTAAATCGGTCGGAATGCATGAGACGGGCTTTATTTGAAATATGCTTAAATCAAACGTAGTGTGGTAATGTGTTTCCAGTTAATCACAAGAAATAAATAATAAATCTAGAACGAAGCAGTAAAGCAAAGGTAAGGAAGAAAGCCACGACAATAATGATTTGAGATTATTTGATTAAATAAATGTAAGGTAAAGATTAGCTTTGGAATAATACATATATAAGACGCTCAGAATTATCTTCCGTGGTCCAAATATATAAATGAAAACTTGAGGAGTACTCTCGAATATTATGGAAATAACGTGGCGGACTTGAATGTAAGAGTACCATCTACTAATTGCGGCTAAATAAATGCTCCAAGCTTTACATTCTACTCGCAGCTAATAAGATAATTTGACTTTTACTATATATTGAAACTTGAGGAAGTAGGCTTCCACAGAACTTTCTGAAGTGGACCTAAGCGCTGACTTGGTGTTCCGGAAATTGCAGCACTTAAGACTTGACACTTCTCCTGGCCCGGATACGGTTCATTCTGTCATACTGAGGGAGGCAGCCTCAATCCTGGCAACGCCGCTTAGCGTGATGTTTTCACACTCGCTTAGCCGAGGCAAATTACCGGAAAATTGGAAGTTGGCTCACATCACACCAATTTTCAAAGGTGGTCGACGCAATGAACCTTCAAGTTACCGACCGGTGGTTCTTCTCTTCATACCTTCAAAACTCATGCAGTCCCTGATATGCGACGGTTTAAATGACTATCTACTGTCCTCAAATTTCTTCTCACCCCAACAGCATGGTTTCAGGAAGGGTCACTCTTGTATAACCAACCTGCTGACTGCGGTGGACAGATGGACAAGCACCCTTGATCACAAGGGGAAGGTTGCTATCATCTACCTAGATTTCTCAAAAGCTTTTGATAAGGTTAACAATTTATGTCTTATGAATAGGCTCAAACGACTAGGTATCGGACCACCTCTAATCTATTGGCTTACTTCATACCTGAAAAATCGACACTTTAAGGTTAGGGTTAATTTAACTTTATCTCAGGCTATGGAATGTCTTAATGGGCTCCCAGGGTTCAGTACTGGGACCTCTCGTCTTCTTGATGTACATAAATGATCTTCCTCTACAGGTAACGTCGGAATTATTACTCTTTGTCGATGATGTTAAACTTTGAAGAGAGATATGCAACCAAGACGATATACAGGCACTTCAGGAGTATCTGACTCGACTCCAAAGTTGAGCAGATAATAATGGACTTACCTTTAACACTTCAAAATGTAAAGTAGTCCATCTGCGACATGTCGCAGACTACAGTTATAACTAAGGTAACTCCTCTCTAGTAGTATCCCAAGTCGAAAAAGATTTAGGAGTCCTGGTGCCCCATGATTTAAAGTCTTACGCAAACTGTGACAAAAACGCCTTCCGGGCAAACCTTGCACTGGTGACGTTGAAGCGCATTTTTGGACAGTTCAACTGAAGAACTTACCATATAATCTTCAATAGTTTCATCTGTCCCCACTTAGAGTACGGAAACACAGTACTTCCCATCTCACTCCGAAAGGATAAGGACACCCTGGAGCGTATCCAACGGCGAGCCACGAAATCAGTTCGAGGACTCAAATTTAAACCTTACGAAGAGCGTCTCCATTCACTAGAACTTTACCCAATAGAGTATGGGCGTCTTAGAGGTGATTTGTTAATGGCTTACAGTATTCTCAACACTTCTGGACATCCTATCAAACACCTACTTAAGCTTAGTTCGAACACTAGCATAAGGGGTAACACTCAGAAACTGGAAACACAACATAGCAATACGGAATGAAGACATAACATCTATTCCCTAAGAGTTGTCAAATGCTGGAATTCGCTGCCGGCCGAGCTAGTCCAAGCGACTTCTCAGGAGTCCTTTAAGAGGCAACTTGACCTAATTCTAAGGACTAAGGACAGCATCACACTATGATTTACCAATTTCTTTTCCTCTTTTATTGTTAACATACCTAGGTTCCTGCCTGGAGGATTTGGTGATCCCCTGCTACTAGACACGGAAGCCTGTTAAGCGAAAGCTTTTTCTGTCCGTCCACAACCATTTGAACCATTTGAACCATTTGAAGGCCATAAACAACGAGCAGACAAACTAGGGTTTAAACGTTGCCGTTGAACACTCGCCACTATATAAAAGGGTGGTTTTCACTTGAGTAGACAGTACTTTGATAAAAGATAATCATTGTTTCTCCAAATAATACTTTCAATCCACAGACGTTATTATTTCGAGAATGTCTGGTAAGTCAATTATTTTTCAAACAGTCTTAAGCGGTTCAAACAAAAGATTTTTGATTTACATAGAAATACAGTGATCCAGTTGTCAATTTCATAGTTAATAAGTAATTAAGACTTGAAAACTGGTTCTAAGTTTTGTGAAGACTGATGACGTATATGGAACATTTGTTGTAAAATATGTCAGACTCAGATTTGTGAAGTAAGGACGGGAGCCCTGAAGCCTACGTTATTCCATTTCTAGTATCCCTCTCTGAGCGTCTTATCTTCTCTTGAATGTGCCAGTCAAAGGTACGGACACCACTGTTTCATACTGAACTAAAAATAATGGGGTTTAATTTACTTGGCGTTCTTACGTAGTGAACATTTTATTAAATGTTGGAGTAAGGTTTCCCTCAATGTAAAAATGGGACAAATGGTCTATATTTTAGCGGAAAAAAGAGCATATGACGAGATTACGAACTTAAAACCACAAACAGGGAGAATTTCGGGCGATTTCCCCATGAAAAACACAAAAGTAAACTTTTAATAGATTTCTTGATTTTTATTCTTTATTTTCTGACGGAAGGTTTTCTTTATTCACTAATTTTTGCTTCTAGTTCTTCGTCTTAGGTAGTTTGGGTGTGTGTTGTTTATTAATCTTGTTCAAATTAGTACATAACGGAATTAAGTACTTTGAGAAGTGCATTTTATATTTTTGAGGAACAAAGAAATACGTTGTAAAGTGTTCATGATATCTCTGCTGATATGGTTATATTTCATGTCGTTGTGCACCTGTACTACTCACACTAAATAGAGATACATTCAAAGATTCATCACAAATTAAATTTTAAAGAAATTTAAAGATTAACACAAATGATATCTTTAAATATCACTCACCAATTTCGAAAAAAGAGTACTTGGTAATCTTTTATCCCTTAATCCATTCACTGTTCAACCTTTGATTTATTAGTCGCAAAAATAGATCGTATGTAATATTCAACATGCAATAGAACACAGTAATCCTCCCAATTCATGGTATTGCTTAGATTTGCTGTCATTTTCGAAGTAGTAACGGAGAGTGATTATACTATATACTCCAGTAAATAGTTCGTATTTTATAGTTTAGTATGAAAAACTAACCTTAATATATTTATAGTGTGTAGTATTTGATCTTGGTTTCGGTCGTTATTAATAGGAATGATAGCCCGCTCGACTGTGACAACCTCTTGAGCTTACTTTTCACTGAAGATCTGATTTCTCCTTAAAAGCGCCCACTGGTGAAACTGGTACCAGTCGCCTACCACTGGATGGGAAAAACGAAATCCTAACCGAAGCTTGGTTTTAGAACCTTATTGCGGTGGCCTCCAACATGATTGTTTTTGCAGAGAGTAGAAGGGAAAAACTTGTTTCTGCACACTGAACACTCGGGTATGTTCGCATCCGCAATATAACGTGAACTTTCGGCTTGGATGCGAAATTCAATGTAGGGTCTGCCGTGGGTGTAGCACAATACCTAAAGCATATCTTAGTCAAAATGGTTGAATGTTCAGCAAAACAACGATTACTCTCAAAAGTCTTTGAAAGCTGTTGAATAGTAGTGCGCAGTTGTTTCCAAGTCATAACTAACTATTACTCCCAGATCTTCTTGTTTCTGCACACGTGGAAGCTACTCACCGTTGATCCTTATGCTGGTAACCATTGCCGTGTCCAGTGTGGATTAGTGAACTATTTCCATCGTTCGTCTCGAAACCTAAAATTCGGAATCATTTAACTAATCCGTATAAATTTGTTAGGAGATTACGATTATCAGTCTCATTACGTGCTCTCCAAACTTTGACACCATCTGTGGACAACAATGTCGATAACTTAAGCAGTTTTGGTAATCCATTGACTCAGAGAAGAAATTGTGGACCTAATATGTTACTTTGGTGTACACCACTTCTAAATGGTTTCCATACGTATGATGTCTTAGCAACAGGATCGGTGAGAAAAGCTGAGGTATTTTAGGTTATCCTTGTATTTACAATCCTCTGAGCTCATTCCAACACGTACGTTTCACATTTCATACTAGAATTCCTCGCTTTACTTTCGTATTCTGAACGTGGTGGGCGACAAGATATAACAGGTATTCCTGTCTAGTCTTCAAAATAGCTTTGAAAGGTCCCCAAAAAATCCGCAAGTCTTAAGCACCTGCTGCTTTGTTATCACCCTTAAATTTGAGACCACCGTTTACTGTGACTCGTAAATCCTTACAGTTACCAATGTTATGTAAATGGATTTGATTTCTGATGTAATTATGCAAACGATGTGCATTACAGTACTTGTGCTATTACTTGTCTTCAACGACCACCAAATCGTCCACTCATCCAGAGGGTTCATATCAACTTTTAACCCTATTTTATCATTATTGTATTCTAAAACTCTCAGATGTAAGTTATTAATAGCTTGCCTCGATCTTCAAGTTTCATTTAGTATGGATTTTGGGTTATTGTAAAGAACACTGAGCGACAAGTTATCTTTATAATTTTGTGGGTGTTGCTGCTTTAGATTACTAAATCATTATGATATTTCACTTAACGTGAGCGCATTCAATTTATTGTGCAGCTGTTTAAATTAATATCGGTTTGACTAGTGCATATTACAGAACTTCACTTCGCTTGTAATAAGATATTACTATTGTTACCGTGTCTGTTTCTCCATGCTCCAATATTCTATACAAAGTCATAGAATATGGTTTTTCCTCTTCATTTTAATTATTCACAAATACTGAGTTCAATGTAGGACATTCATTTTGATGTTGGTGCTACAGCATTCTCATCAGTCTGTGTAATTTATTGTTCGAAGCTGATCATATTCTTCTGTACTAAATGAGTTACTTATTCTACTTGTTTTTCGCATCAAATTCCGACTATTCGTAATGTGAATAAGTGTTATATTAGTGTGGGCTGTGAGTTAGATATGTCACTGATTTTGTATCTTAAGCTGTTTCGAAATAGTTTCCGTATAACTGATTTTTTAGTTTGATATTAGTAATTTTCTGTAGATGATCTTGCCATCAGTGTTTTGCTTTTCAAAATAAGTTCCATTTTTTATCTATCTCCTAATATTTTGGAACCAATACTTTAAGATGCTTAGCTTATGTTACGTTTTGAAGTGAACGAACGTCACTGTGGCACTGTACATTTTTTTAAAATAAAATTTAAACTTCTAGTGGTTTTTCGATTTCTTAACCCTTAAAGAAAACCTATTTTTAAATGTTGTCAACTGTTTTGTTAAAATGTAGTGTGGTGTTTTTTTAATTATAGTAAGCTAAGAAGACTCGCGTAGGAAGGCATAAATGAATCTCTTAGATTACTTTTCATTACTGTGATGTTGTTAAAACATGTTTCAAGCTTGTTTTATTTATGGTCTCTTCAAAACTAATTTTAAAATCGTCCTAGAAGCGTAATGTTCCACCTTTAGAACCATACTGTTTCATAAATGCTTTAAATTTTGATAGTTTTCGATGTTGCTTAAACGTACGCTACGTAAAATGAATAATTGTCTTTTGATAAATGACTATCTGGTCAAATATTATCGTTTTTGATTGAACTAAGCTTTTAAATAGCGAATTCACTACTTTGTTGTATCTTCTTATCATTTCTACTTTTAAAGAAAATAGATCAAGCTTCCCAAAAGCTTATTTAAAACTTTTTAAGTCAAATGCACCAGAAAATCTCGTCAGTGTACATCTAAATCAGCAGTCAGTAATATGTGATCCAAAAGTAAGTTGATGGTCACACAACTAATCATTTCTCTCACTATTCATACTAGGGTGTCCTAAAAGATATAAGGCATATTGTGAAAAGCTAATATATGCTTTCTTATTGGTAAAATTAAGTGGCGTGCAATACGACACACGTTTTTGAGCCTGAAGCGCTACAATTATCATTATGTTCAAGAATAAAATTCAACAGTTGGAAACTGAAAATAATCAGCAACACGGTCGAAACAAGCAAAGTGAAATATCTAAAATCGTATCAACTCTAGGATTAACAGAAATATAATGAATTACTGGATCTATGCTACAAAAATTATTCTCGACTCACGTCATGAAGTCTCTAATGACAGACAGTTATTTCAACCACCCAGTGTTCACCTGCCTTTTCGGTTTAGGCTATCTGAGTCTATGTGGTAGTTTTGCCGCCCATTCATGTGAAGGATCAACTAACTCAAAAATAAATCGAATATTCCCTTAAAACTCTGTTTTATTACTAAGCAGTTTAAATGTATAAGGGTGTCATAGTTAATAAAGACCTATATGTTTGGTGGCTAAAAGGTACATGTTTAAGCTTTTGAACCGTAATTCAGTATAATGTCACCTAAAATTCATTGGTATGACACTTATGCTGCCCAAAACATACGAAAGTAAATTATTACATTTTAGTTTGATGTTAGATTGAACAAAAAAAAGAAACAAAGTTAACAAAAAATGAAAACTGTTACTGGTAATCACAACACATGTCAAATAAAATTTATAACCGAGTGGTGTATTTGAATTTTCCCATTATTTGACTAAGAGCTTGTCCTGTTGACCTCGATTTGATTGCTTATTATTGATCTTTAACCTGTCATTGACTGCTTTTTTATTTGGACTGTATCGCTCTCTGATCTTATTCCTGATCTTATATTTATCCATGAATCTTCTGATAGATTGAATTGATTTCGATCTATTTGTTGACTTCTGATTGACTTAAGTGACAAGCTTTTAACAATTCCCGAGTGTTTGTAGTATTCCGTCCACCAAAGTTTCCAACATTTCTCCAGTCGAATTTGCGTTTACAATTTTCCATATGCTTTGATATAAGCCAAGATCTTTCCTGGCTTTTGACCACTAAATGATGTTCATGCATGTAAAGATGAAGATGGCGTCCATTTTGTCAAATGCATAGTTTGCAACAGTTTATTGTGGATGATGTTCGGTTCTCTCCTTTCGTCATTTTATCCCTTGGTTTGAATAAGGTTGACCAAAGAGATTTTGCCGATTTATGCGTTAGATCTGTTCCAAATGGCTTCAATAATCCCGTTATTTGTCTTCTAAATTTGGTAGAATCATTCATTTTTTTGATTTTCATCTTTGGTTTCATTTCTGCTGGTTAGTTGGATTTATATTTTTTGGCGAAGCTGAGTAAATAGCTGTTCTTCCCCTCATTTTTCCTCACTGTAATATCCTGCGGTGTATTCCTGCGTTCTGAATAAAGTTTGTAGGCAGTTGATTTGGTGAAGTTCGTGCCTATGGTATTATTCAGAAAACAAGTTAAGCTTCAAGATTAAGCTATCCGGCTTAGAGGGCGAAACTCCACAAAAATTGTCTATCTGAACAGCAAATCTTACTCATCATCTCAAGACAGATGCCTTTATTCTTAGATAAATTATATGGACAAAGTTGCCTGAATGTTTAGACCTCGGCGAACTTATTTGAAATTTTTATGGACTTTATTTTCAGTTAATCTATTTTCCTAATTTAAGTTCTAAACGTCCTATCATTAGATAGCTGTTCATTTCCTATCCAAACTTAGTTTCTCTTGCATCAATGTTTTTCTTCATTCATGATCCTTTTTGCTGGTGATGTGCTGTGCAAACTGACAAACACGTGCACATATTTCTACATTGTTGACTTTTTATAGTTGTTTGTCGTATATGTTCACCTATTTGCACATCTTTTACGTGCTTTGTGAAAGGAAGTTTCTTAATTCTTGGTTAAACAAATAAAGTCTTATTTGGAGAACTTAGAGACCTAAAAACATGTTGTTGTATGTTAATTAGAAGTATTTGAATTAAAGTACCAACTAAGAATTGTCTGAATACAGCAATTTAAGGTAGGTGGAACAAGATGAGCACAGCCAGACATATTAGACTTGGAATTCGTATTAAGCGCGCAATCAAGTACAAAGGAATCACTAGTTAGTAAAAATACTACATTCTGGTAAAATAAATGATTTTCAAAGCAGGTACACGATTATTTTGGCAAACTACACGAAAAAAGAGAGTTCGGTGGTTTCGTAATAAATTGAAATGTAAGGAATAAGTTTAATAACCCTATTCGGAGTCATAATTTGCCGGTTCATCCTCAATTTGCCTATTGCATTTACCGAAACCTTGTAACCGACATAAATCATAAGTTAATTTTGATTTTCAATTGTTTTCTCTTGTAAAACACGTATCTTACTTATCAAGTGTTTTAAACATGTGTAGTTTTCGTACTACATAAACTAAATCTTCTAATTTGGACCAATTCATGACTATTATTATTATCATTATTATTAATGGCTTTATTCAATATTATATACGTTATAGACTACGTTGTTCGAAAAAATCCCGAATTCCCTATTCCTTTTAAAGCCCTCAAAATATCTAGTTGCTACATCAATCAGCGAATGAAGAACATAATTTTTATTGCTATCTTTCGTCTACTGATTACAAAAACCTTTTTTTCAGTTAGAGGTCTTTCAAACAATAAACAATCCACCCAAATTTTTCATACTATTTAGACTGGTGCACGAAAATCCCCATTTGTTTCAAAGTTCGTGGACAAAATTCCAGTGAAAACAATGAAAGATGTTTTTGAATATGGCTTAAATACTTCAAGTAAATCCACTTATTCAACTACATGTTGATTATCGTTTGTTCCTAAAGAGTTTTAACTAGGAAAATATATTTATTGCAATCATAACGTATTAAAACCTTATCACTCTTTTGCTATTGATACACAGTAGCAAGACTGTTTAGTTATGAATCTCTAATCAGCTTTCTAGAAATCATTAAGAGAATCTTGGAACGAAGGATGTCAATGCCAATTGTTCATATATATATATATATATATATAAACTAGTTGTCCTCAATATTGTACACGAGGAATTTTCTTTATTCTTACTTCGAATTTTTTTAAAATAGCAATAATCGTTAGGGGTAACTGATTGCAGTCTTTTACTTCTTGTAGAATATAGGCTTTCTAGTTGAGCGTCGTAAGACCCTAGACAAGTAGCTTGAAATAAGATAAGGGTGACGTTGCTCCATTTTATTATTATTCTCCCGCAAATCTTGGACATCGTATCTGTTCCCTAACTATTACCTTTTTTGCTATTTCGTGTCTAAATTCCTCGGATTTGAAATCTCCACTAAGTTAGTCAATATCTGTATCTGAAATCCAAATTCTACTTGAAAATAAAATCATGCCGAATTCCTTCACCTCAGATGAGGAAGCACAAGCTCAATAGGTTTAACTAAGACCCACATTTTCAGCCAAAATTTTCTCAACACAGTCAAACCTAACTAACAGTAAATGACTACAAGTAAAATATTGAATTTCTTAAATTCATTTTCATTGCTTAGCATTTATCAGTCTATGTATTTTCATAGACTTTATTTATAGCCTTCCAAAAATATTTTCATACGCTATATTATTGTAATTACAGTGAAAAATTCCGTAGGCTTGAATTTCTATGATATCCGTTTTTAATATGATTTCGAAATGCTCACTTACAGGGTTTTATCCATGTCTAAGAATACGACTCCCTTCCAAAAATAAATACTCATGGCTCATTTACAATGAGGTAAGTGAATTTGGATTATGCTTATGTTTTTCAGGTAGATAAAAAAATAAAAGCTATTGGGACAGCTCTTGTGAAAACTGTGAGACAAAGACGTAATGCTGAAAACTTTGTGGGAATCTATGGACCGAACTCACCGGAGGTGATTATAATTGCTGTTTGATTTTAAACTAGCGACTGGCTGGTTGTTAAAGCTTTTATCCCGGATACTGATAGAAATTTATTACTGAACTATGATAGGTCATTAGTGAAGTTGAAATGTACCTGATAATTTGTGAATTTCGAAATTTTGATACTGTGCAATAAATCACGAATCTCGTTCTTTTAAGCTGATTAGTCGGATATATATAGTGCATTTATTCTGTGCATACGTCATCCTGTGGTTTTTCCTCATCTGTCGATTCCTATATCAATTGATAGAAGATTTCGGTGCACAAAGTGCATGTAACTGATATCAAATTTGTTCCTCGACGTCGATATCCCAAATCTTGTCCTCTTTTTCACTCAAACACAGTTCCAAATAAATAATACTTTAACCATTGGAATTATGGTCATGATTCCTACACATTTTCTAATAATCATCTAAATTGTAGTGTCCGATATGCCTACTAGTCTTTTATGATCAATAAAAATTCTGTTTTTAATGAATAAGTGTCAGTTGATAATAAAGAGGACAAAATTGGTCACTTTATAAGTTTTGATGCCAAGCTAGTTCTCACTTCTGATGATAATATAAAATAGAAGTGATCTTATTCGTGTGCTTATGGTGTTTTTTTTGTAGATCAATATGGGAATGCTATTAAATCAGCATATAGTCGGTAACCATTTCCAGAATCTATCACCATTATAAATGTTGCTTTCTAACGAATTTACTCAATTATTCTCTGGAATTAGGCAAAACACGTGTTTATAACCTTATAGGACAGATAATCTGAGAAAAACTAGGGAAGTCTAGTGAACGAAGTACTTTCATTAACAGTTCATTAATTAATTATTGAAACAAAGTAAAGTGAAGTCTTTGAGTAGTATGGCAGAGAACATTCAAGTGATTAGCAATGCTTTTGCAGTTATCCGAACTGGTTCTTCATCACTTTGTCTTAAAGGTAACTTATCATATGACTCTTTTAAAGGTTTGGCAGTTGAATTGATTTGGCTATTTTGGGATGTTTTATGTTATACATTCAATTTCTGTGTCAGTACGGCATTAAACCTAGCAGGAGTTTTTAAAATCAAAACATGCAATACATCAAGCATGTGATTTCCCTGTTTGAACGCTATTATATTGTTGTATTTCTTTATGTTTGAACTTGATAAAGGAAAAACATGGTCAAGGCTTTTGTGTGTATTTTATAGAAGTGTATTTAATTTAAATCAAGTGTATGAGGTTTTTTAATAGTGTGTCTAAACTTCGAATGTTCTAGACTGAACGTAACGATACCCAATGAGCATAAAGTGTTCTAGAAGTGATATTTTTGTGCACAACAAAAACCCGAATCTGTTATTTGGTTCCATAAAGATTCAAATAGATTGTTTACTAATTACATATTTTGTTATCATCATTATTCCTTCTATTATCCAGTGGGTTATTATGCAGCATGCATGCGCTGCATATGGTTATACTATTGTGCCCATCTATCCTACATTTGGTAATGAAGCAATACAACATATTTTATCTCAAAGTGAGTTTTTTCATTTCACTGAGTTAATTCTCACTTTTTATTTGACAATATTTTTTATATACTAAATATTATGTTATCAGAAGGGGTTTGTGGAGATTTTAGTAAATTTCACAGGTTGAAATCATGAGTCAGTTGAAGCTAGACCACCATGGAAAACCTGGAAGCACTGGACAGCCGTTTCGTCCTAGTATGGGACTCCTTAGCGGTGCGCATCCACGAACCCGCCCCCTGCGGGATTCGAACCCAGGACCTACTGGCTTCGCGCGCGACCACTTAACCATTAGACCACGGAGCAGGCATCCAACGGTGTTAATGTCTAACTCCAACCAATCCACGAAGTTGCGCCACCGTACACCATTGTCTTCAGTGAGCTGATATCTCACAACAGACCTGGTTGATCTCCACTGGTAACGGCTTCCCACTAGAACTCCCGGAGTATCTCTTGAAGTCAGTCACTAGTGAGCAGATGATTATTACCAGAAGGGGTGCGGGGTCGTGGATGCGCACTGCTAAGGAGTCCCATACTAGGACGAAACGGCTGTCCAGTGCTTCCAGGTTTTCCATGGTGGTCTAGCTTCAACTGACTCATGATTTCAATCTGTGTAAATATTATGTATCTGTATGAGATTAAGTTTTACATAAGCTTTTCTATGTCACAAGATCACTATAAAAGTTAAAAGGACTATGGTAATATTCAGCAGGATTAAAGGATGATCAAATAACATAGAGTTACTTAGGCATCGGCTACATGTTCAGCTGTTTTTAATATATAACAATAATCTAATAATCATCAGTTCGATATTATAATCTTTATTAATTTTCGGAGGAAACATTTCTAATTGAGTACCGTGTTACACTTTACACTATTTGCTAGCTTACTAATTCTAAACACTGATCCTAGTAACTTCTGGAAATAAAATACTTGGTATACATTAAGTACGAAATAAAACATCAAATAAATATTGTTTTTAAGGACGTGATACGTAATTTTGAAATCTTCATGCTTATTTAAATTAATGTTAACTGAAATTTCCTACGCATATGTTTCTATTTTGATATGCCGTAAAGTCACTATTGTAGACAAAAAAACATGAAAAATTCTATCATTAGTGATCAGTCTTATTACAATTTGATTTTAGCACAAGTGAATTGTATGCTGTGTAATTCAGGAACTGAAGCTCTTCATCTGCTGGACAAGTTCGAATCTTCTCTTGAATATTTAATCATCGTTTCATATGATGTTAAAGTTGAAGAAGTTAAGTCTCGTCACGGCTCAAAAGTTTCTGTGTACTTGTTTGAGGATTTCATGGTAAGTACATTAAAAAAATACTCCTTTAACGAGTAGACATATGAATGTCGAAAACTAACGTTTTGTTGAACTTTTCTCTCAGTTTCTACACCTTTATCTATCTAATTCGTATTCTACCCATAAAAGTTAAAATATCCCTGTTCAATAACCTCATTACTTGCACAAATTACTCATGACAAGGAGAAAAATCCATAGAATAGATTGAACTTATTACTAGTTAAGATTTGATTTAAAGATATTATGAATTCTTACCAGAGTGAGTTTTACTTCTGGTCTTGTTTTTTAAACCTTTTTACATGTATAATTTTTGCTACGCAATTCACTATCTAACTTAATATCCAATGACTTATGAAGTGGAATTATGTTTGGAGAAAGGTGTAAACTTCCTAAATCAAGCGTTACCATTACTTCGGATCCTTTCCTAATCTTGAAAATCTGATTCCTGTTGTCTTGTTTTCTGACCTTACATTTACGTTTTATTTTAATGCAAAAATGATCGAATCGGTGCGCAAGATGCACCCTTAATATATGTATATATATATATATATATATATATATATATATATATAGGTATATATATATATATATATATATATATATATATATATATATATATATATAATACCGTTTTTGACCGTATTAATCAATAAAGAAGTCGGAAAAAGAAACACCTTAATGATAACTACGTTTCTAACAAAGAAATCTAGTTTTATGAAAATATGCTCATACAGTTAGTTCTTTTTGCTCTCACTTAGTCAAGTTAACACATATGGCGATGAGATAAATTATGCAGTTTGATGTAAGTGATCTATGCCGATAACTTGGTTCTCACCTATAAACTTAATAACAGTGTGATTTCTGATTTTTCTTCATTGTTTATTATCTTGACCACTATAATATCGAGGAGTTCATTAGTGAAGACTCTAAAATTGCTCAGTAGTCTTCAAGTGCTTCATTTGCTTATATCAAAATTATTCGGTTGTTCAAAACTTTAATGGTCGCTTGAAACACCTCTCATAAGTGGTTAATGTCAAGATAAATTACTAAAACTTCCATTGAACAACCACTTATAAAATGAAAATAAATTCCTAGCTGTCACTTGAGATGATATTCACCCCTCAAAACAAATTGAATTTGTTCAAGAATTTTTCAATTTTTATAACTTTTTCTCCACGTGATATCAATTTCATTCATACCACTTCAAATTTTATTGGTCTTCATGTTGACCATGCAAAATTTACGATTTTTATTAAAACTAATCATACCCCTTAATTAACAATCAAATTACAGAATAATCACCTAGATTTTGCATTATTTTGCTTCAGAAGTTATGTTCATGACTATATGCGTTCATTATCCAAAGGTTGCCTTTAGTATAAACAACCAACATTGTAGTTGAAAAATATAGATCTTGCCGAAACTAGGATCATTTTATCAACACTATCGTCATATAATGTTTCAGGAACTGGGAATGGATAAACTTCTACCAAAGAAAGTGAGTTTTCATATTTTCTTAACTCATTCATTCCAAGTGTGTGTCACTATCCCACCTATCATAAACTGTAGTCGAAAATTGGATGCACGTGCTGCGTTTAGTACCTGTACAGTATTCTGTGGATTTTGTTGAGTTAAAAAATATCATAAATTGCAGTATAATTTACCAATCCAAACTACTTTTCTTAATTTGGATTCAGAATATGAATTTCCAAATATTGATTTTTGTCTGCTTGCACGTCAACTAGTTTTATTTAACAAATTTTGTATAACTTCGTTTTGATTAAGAAATTTATTTCTAAGTGGGGGTTGAAAAATTAACCTAATTTCTTTTGTCTTATTCATTTCTCACTTAGAATGCAAATAGACCTACATATTTTGATACTTTGTTTTAATGAAAAAGTAAAACACTAACTCAACTTTGTATATTTTTTGTTTCTCATCGTGATCATGATTTCTGCGAAAAATACGTAAACACTCAGATTAAAATTATTTGAAAACCTATAGTAATATAAAATCCTGTTATTAAGGTTGATTGGGTAAATGAAATTAATTTTTATGAAGGCATGCATGAGCCTGAAGTTATATATATAAATTTATGATGGGCTATGAGAAAAGCGACGAAGGATTAATAAATGTCTTTTGTCTATAAATCTTTCAAATAGTTGATTTTGTCGATCTGTATCTTCACTGCTCATACCAATACCAATTCAACAATAAACAGTTTTACTCAAAAAGTTTTGTCGAGAATTATGTCATATCCATAAATCTTTTGAAACTAACACATTTGATCGTTTAAGTCTGCTTGTTGTAATCGCTCATTTTTACTTTATTAGTGTAACTGATTGGTTCTAGTGCTTTTCAATCGATTTTAAATATTCTGAGAAAGATTCATAGAAAATGTTATTTTGTTAAAGCATTTGCTTTCAAATATCGTTTAAATGAAAGTTATGAATACTAAAATTTACCTCATATCATTTAGTCTTATCATCTATCGTATTATCTGATAAAGGTTTCAGTTCCATATGATTATGAATATATTTGTGAAACTGATTGACGGATTTTAAACACCTACAACAAACCGATTCCAACCTGCTCAGCAACTCATTCGTTTAACTGACTAATACACTGGATATATCTGTTTGTGTTATTCCGGATTATTCAGTCTTAATATAAACAGCGTAAATACATAATTTATGTGATTATAATATCCCTTTCAATATTTTGTTTCTTGCCAGTCACTGATTAGGCTGTTTTTGCTCAAACTAAGTTTTCGTATTGAAAGGATTTCATAAGTAATTCTTTATTTTAAAGGATCCATTGCCATCTGACCTCTACATGGTTTGCTATACTAGTGGAAGCACCGGTAAGCGTTAGTTTCACTTCAGCATTCATGCTGTTTGGGTGTATTTCAAATACTAATTTATTAATTTTTCCAACTAGAACATAACCTTTTTTCTTTGTTCCTCCGTTGATTACTAAGGAAATACTTATATGATAATTTCACTAACCACAGATCTTCGTTTGTATACTGACATATGAGTTATAATTTAGTCTACAGTGATAACGACTTAGGAAACTCGTTACAGATAAATTTCTGTTCTACTAATGTCCTACATTATTGCCACATAATATGAAGAATCATTATTCCTTCCTTTTCCTGTAACTCTTCAGCCAGCGTACTTCAGCTCAGATCAAATAAAAGTTTAAACGCAAAATATGTTCCAAATTGAAAGCCAGATTATGTATGAAAAATAAAAACACAATCACTTACTCCAGAAACGCACAGACATCTATTACAGGGGATCAAATTGTAACAACTTTGTCATCTGTAAATGTTAATGACCGCTGACATGTTGAGTAAGAATAAATCAGCTCGTATAAACCATGTTCTAAGGGACATGTGAAGCTAATATGTTAAAAGTCAAGTTTCCTTTTATTTCTTCGGCTGGTGGTTTTAAAAGTTGATGAAAGCATTATTTGTAGTAAATGTATATTTATTAGGTTTGGTAAAATAATCTTTTTATTCTAGTTATTTGATAGAAGTAATTTTATCACTTATTTTTTGTAATTTGCAAACTAACATTTTGTCAACTTATTGTCGTGTGTAGGATTACCTAAAGGAGTTATGGTTAACCATGAACAGATTGTGGATGCTGTATTTTCCATACTAGAAGCTTCAGAAAACAAGGTAAACCTTTACCATTTATGCTTCATTGAAGTTCAAGAGCGAACATGTATCACATAAATTTTCCAATCCTTATATGGGTAAAAAATATATCTTAACGGTGAACGTAATTTATTCTAACCATACAGCAACATATTTCTATTGTCTCAATCTAAATCGTTATCTTTTACTCCTATTTTTTACATTAGATTTATATCACTGACAGCTGGGACCATTAAACTTTTATGTAAGAGACTACCTTCGTATTTTTTGAAGCCTTTACAACCTTAAAAAGAAACGTGACGAGCGTTTTTATTTTTGCCTAAAATTTTCGTACTATTTAGGTACGAGTTAACTTATATGGTTTGATATTTATTTAGTGGATTACTGTTCGTTTTGTTGTTTCTCCTAGCTCATCAAATCCAATTCAAGTCATCTTTCATATCTCCCATTGGCGCATATGATGGAACAAATACTCTCGGTAAGCTATCTTATTTACGCTTCGTTAATTCCAGACCTTATTATTATGCGTTTTTGTATATTAACGGTCAAGTACATCAATTGTATGTCGTAATTATAAATTATTTCTTCCTACGAACTGCATAAAAAATCAACAAATGAACTGATGGAAATTGATTATCTTGATAATTTTGTTCAGAACTGTATCTTCACAACCATCAGTAAAGCTAAACAATCTACTATTAATAGGAATTTTCGTATGTTAGGCTAAATTTGAGAAACTTTTTCACAGGTAAACCGCTAGAGTTTTTTTGTGAAGAGAAAGGTCATGCATGTTGATTTCCAAAGCAAGAAATGGTGGCGATTAGTTAACCCTCCTATGAGGTCATAGGTTCACATTTCTAAGTAATTTCGAACTCGTCCATCCGGTGATTCTTAGGTGTCATTGATTATTCAGGTGATACCTGCCTGTGATGTAAACTATAAAGTAAACAAAACTACACATACAGTTTGTCGAATTAAAAGATAAGTTTTCATATACCAGAAAGGATTTTATGGCCACTATGCTAAGTGAAGCTTTGATATAGCATGTGCTTGATAATTTAAGACTATTCTTGTTTGTTGGGCCTAAACAGTTTTCTTTAAATTCGAATATTGTGAGTCAATATTAATTTTCTAATAATCAATGACGCCTTTTTTAAGTGGAGTAATCCCGACTACAATCATCTCATACAGCTTGAAAGCAACTCTCTTACGACAAAAACTAATGCTTCTTTAAGTATGTTTTAGTAATTTTCTGTAGATTTTAAAACAATTATTTAAAGTTCTGAAACAAAACATATGTTGGGGCAAATCACTGGTTTTCTTTGTTTACAATCTTTACTTTTTTATAGTTTCATTGAGCAACTTTATCGACATATTTTTCTTCTCGAACGATTATCTCACTTTCTTGTAGTCCTATTATATTATGATGGGAGCCCGTCTGGGATTTCTAACTGATTCTATTGATAATTTGGTGGTAGACGCACAAGCTTTGAAACCAGGTGTGATAACAGCAGTTCCACGAATACTTTCTAGTATTTACACTAAATATCAGAAATCATTGGATGATTCCAAAATCAAAAGACAACTTTACAATCGGATTGTGAAGATTAAAATGGTTGAACAAAAACGGTATACGGTTTTACTTTAAAACTTCACTGACTAACATTTCATAGCGTTAAGAAAGAATCCGTAGCATTTTTCACAGTCTAATGTGTATCAAGGCACACTGAGTGATTTGAGACGTTAAAGCATAGAGCCAAACGAAATAGTTTTTATATGGTATTGGTTCGAAATATAACGATTAACTACATTTGGAAACACTCGAAGCAAAGGCGATAAGTATTATGAGATTTTTCTGTTTAGTGTATAAAAAAATTGGACATAAATTAACTGATTTCTGATTAACTAAGACACAAACAAAGGAGTCAAAATTGTATCAATCTAATTTAGGAACTATGCAATGGATCTGTATTACGAAGCAAAGAAATGTAATGCAAGAACGAAAATTTTCAAGGACTATTAAAACTCAAGAACCCGTGAATTTTCTCCAATACAACTTAATTTCAGTCTTAGTCCTCCAAATCCCTTTGTTTTTATAGGTCACATCGGTTTGGCTGGTTTACGATAAGTCTGCCATAAATCACTCAAATCTAAACATTAGTTTATGTCTAAAGGTTTGCATCCCGTCATTTAGTATGTAAAGTTTTCTGTTTTATTGAAATCGTTGAGAATCGCATGTTAAACTAGATGAAACATTAAATATAAGTTTAACTGAGAAGCCTTTTTTGGACTTATCAGATAAATACAATTATTAAAGTGGCCAAAAAAGAATGTGAAAAAATGAATGAATATATAGGTCTTTTGAATAAGACATAGCTCTGCTAATTGTATTAAAGACTATTGCCACTGTTTTAGGTCAGCGAATTACCTGCGTAGATACTAGCTTCGTTTGACAAAAATGTAGTAATTGAAAGGTAGAAGCAGCTGAACTTTTTATCTAATTTATATAGATGCTTTTTTAATAACAAATTCAAAATAAAGATTTCACTATATTAAACCTTTAACTAGTTATTTATTATTTCTGTTCATTTTAGTGGAAAATTCTATCATAATAGTATCTTGGATACGTTATGCTTTAAGAAACTTAGGAAGTCATTAGGTGGACGTGTATATTGTGTTGTCAGCGGAGGCGCTCCATTACCAACGGAGATATCCAAGTTTGTACATGCTGCATTTGGCTTGGTAAGCTAGTTTCTGTTCTCTCTGTTGTTGGAAAGCTTCCCAAAAATGCAATCGCTCATGTATATATGTATGCAATTACTGGAACATTTTTATTGGCGATAATTTGCATTTTTGTAATAATTCACTCATTAATTATCAGTCTTCAGTATAAATAGGAACTTCTATTACTTTAGCTGACACTCACTTAACTGACCATTTTCATGCATTTACCTCCATGACTAACCCTCCTCACATCTCTTTATCACCTCGCACCGCTAGGGCAAACGATTCGAGTACGTGGAACACCATTCCCGGTCTCCTGAAACCACGCTCTAAACTACACGTAGGAGCTTTTAACGTACGAACACTTTGCCAAATAGGACAGCAGGCTTCCTTAACTAAAACTTTAGAATCTCGCGCCATCGATGTGTGCTGCGTCTCCGAAACACGCATACAGGATCCAAGTAGCGTCATTCATTTGACCTCACCATGCCAAAATAAAGAACCGACTCGATTTACGCTTCGTGTATCTGGAAGCCCTGATTCTGCTTCCCGTGGCCTCGCCGGCTCAAAATCGTTTGCAATGGCGCAGGTGCATACACTCTCTGTGTTCTCCCAAATTCTAATCTTCTGAATTCTTCATGTCCCTTTTTTCCTCTTTCCAAATTTATTTTACTGGATTATACTCTTTAAATAACATCTCTAAACCCTAATCTTCCCGATTACTGCTTATACTCTTATTACCTCTACCACTACGGGATTTGAATCGACAACTGCATCTCTGTGCTAATGTGGTGTGGCAAGTCGAATTGATGTACGTACGTACGAAGTTCTACGTTGTTACTGACTGACTGACTGACTGCCGGCGTAGGTATAGCATTGAGTCCTAGGGCAGAACTAGCTGTCTTAGAGTGGATCCCAGTAGACAGTCGTTTGTGCGCTGTCCGACTGAACGGAACAGTAAGAATCCGGAAAGATAGGGACACTCGTCGTTGCCTCTTCGTCGTCTCTGCCTATTCTCCCACTGACTGCAGCTCAGATGATGTAAAAGATGAGTTTTACATAAAGCTTTCGGACCTTCTCCGAAAAGCTAAGCGCTCGGATGTAGTAATTGTGGCCGGTGACTTTTATGCTCAAGTAGGTAAACTAAGCGATGGGGAAAGACACCTAGGTGGATCTTATAGCATCGTGGCTCAAAGAACAGATAATGGCGACCGTCTGTTGCAGCTATGCTCAGATAACCGCATGTTCCTTGCAAATACTAACTTTAAGCATAAGGAAAAACATCTTTTAACATGGCGACCCCCTAATTCGTCCCAACGTTGGACCCAAATAGATCACATGGCTGTCAGCCACCGATGGAGGGGCTCGATAGAAGACTCGTTCATTCTGGAGCACATGCCTAGATTCAGATCATGCTCTAGTGCGAGCGCGTATTTGCTTGCGTCTTACTGGACGTAAGAAAGACGCTGCAAGGAAACCTCTTAGGGGCCTACTTAATGATAGTCAAGCTAAGAGTACATTTCAGGAACAACTAGGAAAACAGTTAGGTAGCCATGTATGTGATGCCAACCCCGAGGTGGCATGGAATGATATCCGAAAAGCTATGGAAACAGCAGTTACATCTGCTAGTAAGGTAACCCGTAAGGTCAGGGAGCAACACTGGATCTCAGCAGCATCTATCTCACTGATAGATGCTCGGAAACTCATTTCACCTGGCTCTGAACATAATGAAGAGTGGAGTCAGCTTAAGCGCAAGCTGACAAGAAGTCTACGCAATGATCGTGAACAGTGGTGGGTAGCGAAAGCAAGAGAGATGGAAAAGGCAGCGACAATAGGTAACAGCAGACAATTGTTCAGACTCGTTAAGGAAACCGGAATTAGGGACCCGACCGTTAGCGAAACAATCTCAGAGAAAAATGGACATATTATACATTCTCAATCCAGCAGATTGGATCGATGGGCAGAACACTTTAGGGATCAGTTCAACTGGCCTTCAGCCACACTTCGGTTTCCCAAGATCTCCAATCAACCTGAATGGCAAGTTAATGTAGGTCCTCCGACTCTTTACGAAGTTGAAAAAGCCATAGGAAATTTGAAACGAGGGAGAGCAGCAGGCCTTGACAGGTTTATGCCTGAGATTTTTAAGGATGGTGGTCCAGTATTAGCAATGAGATTAACCGAGGTCTTAGGTAGAATTTGGGAACTGGACGTAATCCCATCTGACTGGTCTCAATCACTGATTGTGCCAGTCTATAAGAAAGGACAAAAGTCCTCTTGTGACAATCACAGAGGAATCAGTTTGACTAATATAGTGTCTAAACTATTAGCTTCAATAATACTTCGACGCCTAACTAAAGCTCTTGAGGAACAGACTAGAGAAAATCAGGTTGGTTTTCGACCTGGACGTGGTTGTATAGACCACATATTCACCCTACGTCAGGTTCTAGAACTCAGACATACGCCCAGAGGCCCCATAATCGTAGTATTTCTCGACCTTAAGGCAGCATTCGACTCTGTTGATCGTGAGGCTCTATGGCAGTGTTTGTCGCTGAAAGGAGTACCAAAGTCCATTAACCTTATAAAGGCTCTCTACTCGAACACAACTGGTAGAGTGAGAGCTTATGGCAAACTGTCATCAGAATTGATTACCTCAAGTGGTGTTCGTCAGGGCTATCCACTCTCTCCATTCTTGTTTAACTTTGTCGTTGACGTGCTTTTAGAGATGACACTTTTCTCGTCTAGATTTCCAGGGGTTGAACTTCTACCGGGAGGTTCACTTGTTGACTTAGAATATGCTGATGACATAGTTTTATTTGGTGAAGACGCTGACAAAATGCAGAGTCTTCTGACCACTCTAAGCAACAATACAAGCATGTTCGGGATGCGATTCTCTCCCTCGAAATGCAAAATGTTGCTTCAGGATTGGGTTACATCGACACCCGAACTAATGATAGGTAGTGAAGTAGTTGAGCATGTTGACCGCCTCACTTATCTTGGAAGTCTCATCAGTCCTTGTGGTTTGGTGTGTGACGAAATCTCAGCACGGATAAAGAAGGCTCGACTAGCTTTTGCCAACTTGCGTCATTTATGACGTAGGCGAGATATCCGTCTATCAACCAAAGGACGTGTTTACTGCGCAGCAGTTCGTTCCGTTCTACTTTATGGCAGTGAAACATGGCCGCTAAAAGTAGAGGATATTCGTAGGTTGCTAGTATTCGATCATAGGTGTCTCCGAAACATTGCCCGTATATCATGGGACCATCGAGTAAGTAACACAGTTGTTAGGAAACAGGTACTAGGTAATGATGGCAAATCAATTGATGAAGTAGTGAAACTTCATCAGTTGAGATGGCTGGGACACGTGTTACGTATGCCCAACGACCGACTACCTCGACGTGCTATGTTCAGTGGTATAGGAGTAGGTTGGAAGAAAGCTAGGGGCGGCCAAACCAAAACATGGCACAAGTCCATGAAGTCACTGACAAGTGGACTGAGTCATGTTGGTAGGTGTAGAATACCTGGCTGGGGACCGCGAGATGATAGCAACCGATGGTTAGAGACCCTGAATGACATGGCTCAAAATCGTTTGCAATGGCGCAGGTGCATACACTCTTTGTGTTCTCCCAAATTTTGATCTCCCGATTCCTCTTTGTCTCTTTTTTCTCTTTCTGAATTTATTTCACTGTATTATTCTCTTTAAATAACATCTCCAAACCGTAATCTTCCCTATTACTGCTTATACTCTTATTACCTCTACCACTACGGGATTTGAATCGACAACTGCATCTCTGTGATAATGTGGTGTGGCAAGTCGAACTGATGTACCTACGTACGAAGTTGTACGTTGTTACTGACTGACTAACACATGAAATCAAATTAATCATATCGAAACAATAAAAGGAAGGGATTACCTAAACTTAACTTAAGATTTAAGTGTACAACAATATTCAAACTTTAATATTTTCATCATTAAATTTAAACAAGTGGCGAAAATCTTATTAGGTTTGAAAAGCATTTTGTTTTCAACTGTATTGTGAGTAAATTATTTAATGATTTATTCATTCTAGAAGAAGAGGCTGCTGATTTAAAATATAGTTTGCTTTGTTTATAAATTATTAATGAAGCTAACTACATACCAACTGCTTTCAGAATAAAAATACTAAGATTGAAGTTCTTTGTAAAGAAACAATTCAGCGGCAATAGTTATCAGTGACTTTATGAGATGTTATTTCTCATTGTTGAAGGACACGTTTTTAATTTTTTTTTATTAGCTTATTTCATTGCTTATTATCAATTAAATGAAATAATTCCATAATTTCTCTTATTTTTTCCAATCTAATGATGAACTTTCAATTCGAATGTTTGTTTCATATTTTTCCTACAAAAGCTTGCTGAGGGGTATGGATCAACAGAAACAATGGGGAGTATAACTATTACTTTAGTTGGAGAGTACCGTCTAGGTACCGTAGGTTCTGTCGCACATGGTGTAGAAGTGAAACTTGTTGATGTAGAAGATCTGGGTTTAGATGCACTGCGAGATCAAAGAGGAGAAGTAAGATACAAGTAATGGTTAAAATTATGTAATATGCATCCTTTAACATCTCGGTTCCGGTAAACTTTGATTATAGTATATAACTGATTACAGTGAATAGGTTTTATTCATAGCTAACAGTCAAAATCAAGAGAAAACATTCATGAACTTATCAACGGCTACATTTTCTTAGATTACATTTATGTAGAATAAAAATACGTTCACGATTGTGACCTTGTGAATATATAGATCCGTTTATTAGTACTTGACAAATTTAGCCAATAATCGGACTTGAATGTTTTATTTAACTTCATAATGTAACTAATCTATTATAAATAGATATAACAGATTTTGTTATCATTATTTGGATCTTGTAGCTTCTTTTTAGAAAGATTGATCAGTTCTATAGTTGGTGGTTATCACCGGCTGACACTGGCTAGAAAATTAATTACAACCTAGAAGTAATAATCAGCTTCTTCATCCAATTTTAAACTGTAAATCATTACCCGATTGATGGTTCAACGTTTTGTAGTAAGAAAAAGCCATTCTCATGAGAGATATCATATCAGGATTTTTTCATCTGATAACAATTCAAGATAGAAATTGAATACAAATATTTCGGGATTTTTTTCAGTCTCGCTTCCTTAAAAAACCCACGAGTTATTTTCAAAATTACTTGTAGATCTGCGTGAAAGGCAAACGATGCACAAAAGGCTATTATAAAGAACCAGAAAAATCCGCCGAACTTATTGACAATGAAGGATGGTTACATACTGGGGATATCGGTGAATGGACACTAGTAAGTTCGACGATTTAATTTAATATGTTTTGTTTAATTGTTCTGTTTAGAGATGCAAATCAGTTTTGTTCGAACAGTGCATGTCGATGCCCAGTAATCTAAATACAACACGTTTGTAAGACGATTATTCTAAACTAAATTTTCACGTTTTGCTAAACGAACTTTATCCTCGGAACAGTTTTTAGAAATATAAAATTCAATTCATTTTAAAATATTATATGTTTGGATTGTGACTATGGATGAAGCTGTTGACTGAGTAGTGCCAAAGAGTTTTCAGTGATATAAACTAAAATTCATAGATTAGATTAAAGAAAATTCCGTGCAGGACTGTATTGGGACACGCTTGTTGGCCATTCCTTGACCAATCAGAGCTAGCGGATACTTGGAGAAGACTCTAGAATCTCCTTATGAAAAATTGCAAATACACTAACGTGTTTCCTATTGTACTTCCTACGTCTATCCAACCTTGTTTATTTGGAATATAATTATGTTTCTGTGTAACCGTGTTCTAATTCGAAGACTTGTCGAGTGAAGTAATGTCCAAAATTACTAAGTAATGAGGGGATATCATAACATCTAAATACAATGTTATCGTGTTACAACCTTATTAGACCATCATATTCTATTTTCTGCCATACTTCAATCAACTACGAGGAATCATTAATATATCTATTAATTTTCACGTTAGGAGGGTTCGTTGAAAATTGTGGACCGTCTAAAAAGCATATTCAAATTGGCTCAAGGTGAATACGTTGCACCGGAAAAAGTGGAAATGGTTTATAAATGCTGTAAATTAGTAAGCCAAATTTTTGTGGACGGTAATAGTAAACAAAATTACCCTGTTGCTATCGTGGTTCCCGATTTTACCGAGTTACGTTCTTGTTTAAACAACGCAGGAGTACTACATTGCTCAAAACTTTCGGATCATGAACTTTCCCAGAACAAAGTTGTAAATAAATTTGTCCTAGAACGGATGAATGCTGTCGCTGATGAAAATATGCTGAAAAGTTTTGAAAAGGTATGAATGACGTTTTGCTACAAACTTTTACGAGAGATATGCCGTAAAACAAGTATTTTACTCTATTTCATATATTTCGGTAAATGTAAAACAGTAATTCTGCTACACAATTTAATTTTAAGCAAGTTGGTTGGTGAAGCTGTGAACTTGTATTAGGAGAAACGAATGAAATATTTTTCACTTGTATGGATTTACTGTCTGCTAAACCAAGTAGAAATTCATAATTTAATTGGTTACTTGTAAGCGCATCTAACTCCTGTCGATTTTTTTTTACAATTTTGACTTATCCTAGATTTGCATATCACCATTTGATTTTGTACTAATTCTTAAACTTATTCCTTTGAACAACGCGATAATAAAGTTTTTAGTACGAAATAATCATCGGATGTGATTAATGTCGTGCATGCGTACCGGTAGATAACCCAGAATGAAGAATTCGAATGCGAATGTTAATTTCATTTTGTTGTGCTAATTTGGTATGACAGATATGGGATAACGCATACTTTTGCCAGGCTCTACGTTGATTATGCTTTACGGCACGCAAGATCTTTTCATACTTCTTGTCAGTCTATGCGCTTAAGTGGACTCCAGTGCAGCGCTTAATTTGATGAAATCGTTGACTACCGAGTGTGATCACTGACGTTTATAACACTACTTCCACATCTTTCAGAGATTCTATGCTTTATTTGTACATAGGCCAATTTTCCAAAATACGTGTATACAAAAAAAGAAAATTGACCCAAAAAAACTTTTATTGATATTTTTAAATATCTCCAAATACAACAGTAGTTGGTTACTTGTGTAGTCGTACGAAAAAAGTTTATCGAAGTAGGTTTTCTGAACAGTAGATTTTAGATCATTTTGTTATGAGTAAAATAATAGGTGATACATCTGAATTTATTCTTAATTTCTCAATTATTTTACATAAATGATAAATAATTCAACAGCTTACCCATTTTGTATGAATCAACAGTCATATTTCTTTGATCCATGTTTTCCAAATTCTTTTATTTTCGACAGGTTCAGGCCATTTATTTGACAGATCAGGCATTTAACGCTGATAATGGGTTGCTAACTCCAACGATGAAATTAGCACGTATCAAAGCTCGAAGTTACTTTTCAAAGATAATAGATAGTTTATACCCTCAAACTTAGACTGTCCTTACCTCTTCTTCGAATTAAACTGTGTAGTATCTAACTTTCGATACCATTTATAAATGAAACAAGTGTGTTTTGCGCCGGTATTTTTTCATGGGTGCTATAAGGCGGACTGTAATAATTTTGAACATAGCTATTGTTCTATGTTAGCCTTATGGTTATAGCATTATCTGGCTAACAATATTTGTTGTGTTGATTTTAATAATTCAAACTCATCATATTTTTCATATTCTGTTTTATTTAAACCCATAAACACAAATGAATCGCAGTTTTTGTATTAATATTTTTTTGACTTCACCTTACCTTTGTTTAGAGGGTTTCACAGATTATCATCGTGTTCGTGTTACCTTAGAACCGAATAACTACTTTTGGAGCACTGGAAAGATATAAATAATCTTTGATATTTTAAAATAGACTTTTTCATTGGTTTCTAGACATGAACAATGGTACACTTTCGGTTTGTTGTCACTTTATGGTCTGTATAATGTCTCATACAAAATACATTTCTGGTCAAAAGTTCCCAGAATGCATCTAAGTATTCCTGATGGATTTAACAACTGCGGAATGATGATAAATCGAATCAAACCGTGAAAGCCCTAAATTATTGACGTTAATGTCTGTCAGTGTACCTTATTCTTTAAACGTTCATAAAAAAAGGTAAACGTTACTTAGTTGCTACCACCTTTTATAGTCGTAAGCTTTACCGGATGAAATGGGAAACACATATTTGTTCCTCTACCTAAATCTTTTTCTGAAGAAACTATAGTTTAATTGAGTTTTCCCTTTCAAGTTACCTAAATAGAAAGATAGGCATGAAATAGACTTCTTTTTATTGTCAAATCTCTTTTTTACCCACTTAGTGCGATGTTTTCTGGACAGCACTCTCATTCTTGAAATCCAAGTCAAATAAAAATGTATGGCTAATAGACCTCTAAGTTACAAGCTTCAATTTACTAAGTCATTGTATTCAGTAACGTTTTCGAATCAGCATAATTTCTAGTATTATTATGAAGGTATTCACATATCAGAAAGTGGGTAAAATATAAACAAGCATAGAAAAATATATATCAACAATATTGACTCTCCATCTGGTGCTGATTCTTAGTGAAAACTAACTTGAAATTCAATAGTCGTGACGGGCCTACAAAATTATCATCATAAAGCTTGCAGTCCAGTGAGGCATAAAAAGATATTCCAAGAAGAATAAATGAAGAATATTTCTCTGAAATACAAAGGCTCATGATAAACGAGGGTTGTGCAGTAAAGAAATGCAGGGAACATCTTTCCCGTTGCAGGTCAGTAAACACCATGATGTTATGTGGGTCACCACGATGAGTTGAAAACACCAATCATAAACCTAATAGAACTTTTCGTATTGTAGGTAATGGGGCTAATATAAGAGTAAGCAATAGATGGCATGCTAAGGGTTTAGAGATTCATTTATTCTCTTTTCCAGCAGTCACTCTATGATTATGATTCGTTTCAACTATATAAATCACACTTTATGCTATGTTTCCCAACTGCCCTTTTTTCTCACTTTCTAGAATCTATTACTCTACTAAACGTTGTATACGATTAACTCTATCCGTCAGAAAACTATCTAACATTTTGCTTTTTTTCCTTTCATTTCTACTCTTTGAATCATTATTTATGTTTATTTCAGTAATTTACCCTTGATAACTTGTGTGCGAGGGATCCAACTTGTTCTGTTGACCTTTCTCTCATTTAAACCATACAGGTCGATCAACATTATGCTATCAAGAGTATTCACCTAAGCTACAAATCTGTATTTCAGTCTCGGTTGTAAATTTATGTGGACACTATAGCAAAAAAACGTTTTCTGTTAAAGATGTATGTGCTAAACGACTGGACTAGAGGTTTTACAGATGTCAGATACATTACTATAAGAAACAGCGCCTCTATTTGTCAGTCGACTTGTCTCTCTATTGGTCATTTAGAAATTTTTAAGTACCAATATCATCCGCATAAAACCACGTTATCGATCTGAGATATTGAGTATTTTTACATAAAACGTTGATGGCTAAACTTATCATATATATCCTGTGCGGATGATACATTGATGAGATACAACAAGAAAAAAAGAGAAAAGGCTCGGCGAGCCCTGTTTGCACAAGTTAGTGGTGTTGGATCGAGTTCATCAAGTTTCGTGTTAACACACATTGTAGCTCAGTTTGGTAAGAATACTTTTTTATATCTATGACTTATGGAGAACAACAAGATGTTCCAAACAGCCACTTCCTTGTATGACCAACAAATCGAAACTTTCAGAGCTTGATATTTCATATGACTACATATCCAGTAATTTGGAACTAAATCTGTATGATAGAAACTGGGACTGAAAGTTACACAAAATTAATCATATTCAGACAATTCATAAATTTTTGTGCGCACCCAGTATTTTAATTTATAGATTCATAGGGTGAAAATGAGCTGACATTCAACTATGATGGGATGATAGTGTGATGTTTGGTTAGCACAGAAATTACATTAAATCGTCGAGTATCAAAATGTGAAACAAATATACTGATAAACATCATATGAATATTGCCAAGACACGAGAGTGAAGATATATGTGATTAGATAGAAAATAACGTCTAGTGATATGTCAGAATTTTATTATATCTCTTGACTGTTTAGTAAAATTCCTACACTAAATTAATATCACATCACTTTTTTGAATAATACTTCATTATCTTTTTATCATCAGTTTACTTAGCAACAAAACCTTGCTGTTTATAAATATGATTAAAAGTCAATAATTTGTAGCTATATTAAGTTAGTGTTACTATCTTTCACACTTATTCGGTCTGGACATCTTAAGTCTTTTTGCGCCTTATTGAGAGTAAAATACTTTATTTTAGTTGTAATATTGTTCTTATGGTGGTACTACAACTAATGCACTGATTATCTTACACAGATACACCGTACTTGTACATTTACTCGTTTTTAATCCCTTTAATTACTGCTCCATGGTTCACAACTAACTTAGGTGATCACTTTTACGGTTTGGTCTGTCAGTCCTAATTTGAATTAAACGTGGGATTATTATATTTAAAACTGTCTATTTTGATTCATAAATTTTCACATTTTAAAATCTTTTCAATATTTATAAATTTAGAAGCAACATGTAGTTATTTATTAAAATTATTCAGTATTAATATTTAGGATTTTTATGGGTATCATAATATTGACTGAGTCATTTTTTGTTTTATTACAATCGTCTACCACCGGTTATGCACAATTTACTCACAGCCCAATGCACATTGATATATCGCAATTATTATAGATATACTCACTATTAGACGAACTTAAGGTTTTTTATCATATAATTTTATGAAGTGTAAGTTCTGTGTAAATTTCTATTTGTTAAGTTTTGATGATGTATGTTGTTGAATATCACAAAAAAAATCAAGAAGGCAAAACCTTTGTCTATATGGATGATATGTAAAGTTTCTCTACAAACCGCTTACAATTATTATCATTGACTGATCTTACCAAGCTTGTAATCTAACAAACTACATGATTTTGAAAATTTTATTCGGCATTTTGCATTTAAGTCCAATTCCTTGACTAAAAAAAATTGTATCTATTCGAGAATGTCTCCCACTGTGATACGGTCACCAGACATATTTGAATTCCATGTAATAAAAAACAGCACAATTTCACTGAATATCGCATTTACTATTTTATGCAAAATATCTTTGAAAATTATTGAATTTCTGCATTCAAAGGTGAATACTTAATGGGTATGAATTAAGTTGATTATGTGAACGGATCTACTTATGGTATGACGTGCATAGTCAAACGTTTATCCTGTTGCAAGAAATGTATTTACGACCCAACAACGAGATAAAGAATGTGGCAAGTTTATTTACCGGGTTCCTTAAAATGACATTCATATTTATTTGAATTATTTTATTAAAATTATAAAATTCTCACTTTTTAAACATTTTTTATAAGGAATTCGAAAAAGCTAATTTATTACTCTGTTTACTTTGCTGTTCTATAACGTTACTTTTACTTAGAATATCAGTTATAAATATTCACCCTTTAAAAAACTAGATAACAAGAAAATTTCCTTCTAGCTTTAGCTTTTTAGCTCATATGTGTTTTGCCGTTTAATAGTGCTGTCAATGTAGTAGTGAATGTTGACTCAAAAAACTTGATATTGGTTTACTGAATTTGTTGAATATGTCAGAATAAAGCAGTCGTAGCAAAATTTTTGTTCACTCTCGCTAGAGTTGAAACTAGACTTGGTTTTCTATTCTGGGTAAAACGCGAGAAATTTCAAGTCACACAATATTCTATCACAGTCATCATTATGCATTTACCAGATTACCGGCTTCCCAAATTCGCGGAATCCATATCGGAATGTGGATCACAAAAATAATAGTTATTTGGTTGAGATTTTGTTTGACATTGAAGTTCTATATGAAATGAAATACGCGAACAGAAAATGTTAGGTATCACAACCGTCTAAGACTGTTTCATAGTAGATTGATTGTATTTACTGTCAAATAGTTTGTCGAGAAATTCTTGGGATTTTACCCTCAAATTTATCCCCTTTATTATTCACGTATCTAAACAAGCTGAATTATGGGAATCACAACGAATGTGATCTATAATTAACAATAATTATTGTAGATAACCCTGATTAAATTAAACACTGTGATTCATACGTGAAATTGTTATATTGAATTGGAAGATGCACATCGTTAAACAAACTCCTCATGGACAATATACATATAGTTGTTTCTAATATATTAAATGGTCAATATTTTCTCACAGAACTGAAAGTATAAATTATTTGAAACAAAATATACTGTGTGAACCAATATAAAAGATTTATATTTACTTTTTTGTGAGTAAAACTTTTTAAAATAATCAGATTATCGTTCAGCAAAACATTTTGTTTTCACTTCAGAAATATTACAATGACAGACATAATAAAAGTAGTAAATGACGATGATTCATAG